TTACTGGTGGTGAAATGCAGTGTCGGAAACAGCTGGAAAGTAATTCTTGGGATACAGGTTGGAAATTAACTTATCTAACATGGAGGCTCACATGCTGTCAGTAAACATAGTGGAAAGTACCTGATCCAGCAGGCTGCGACACCACCCAGTGAGAGACTCTGGAGTGACGGCGTGACCACAGGACATCTCTGCTCGGAGACATTTGTCTCCCTCCTCTGGAGCTGAGATGCAACAAGTAGAGCAGACAATGAACTCACCATCACAGAATTTAAGTCTCACATATTACTCTCTTGTTACATATCAACAAAGCCAAACATAATGCATGCAGCTCCTTTAATCGGCTGGACAACACAGACACATGAGGATACTGCACAGTGTGACAATATGAATGCATTAAACCATTGTGTTTGCTTACGCAGTGGATCCAGATCATCCGGTCTGTTGACAAATTTCAGAGTCGTGTCTTTGGGGTCGTATCTTTTCTCCTCTTGACCCTGTGTACTCATCGTGCTTCGGATCAGCTCCTCTGTCCTCCGTCGACAAACTTCTCTTCCTCTCTGCACTCAGGAAATGAGAAACTCAGAGGCTGGCTGCTGCGCCACCTTCACTGACTCCACCAAGTTTTGTTGTTTTTGTTTTATTACTTTCACTTTTCCTCCTCTCTGGCTTTTACAAAAAGTCACGTGCATGCAGTGACAAGAAAATTAGACGACACATTTCTTGTGTTTATTTGAATTCACATTCAGTTTTATTGACAAAGAATAGAATTTATTTAGGATTTATTTAATTCCAGCATACTCAAGGGCAGCTTTGATTCATGTCTTTATTTGTAGAAATTGTTTTTGTTACTGCATTGTTTTGAATTTGAACATAAACTCCCAAAAAAATCAAGTGTTCCATATTAGTTTGAATAAGATTAATACACTGTTTCACAGCAGTTTCTTATATGCCAACCACCTGTTTCACAAGATTCTTTGGTCTGATGACAAACACTGCTGGAGTGTCAGGTGATTTCCAGTAATCATCTCAGCACCGCTTGCAGTTTTAGGGTTCTGTGTGGAAATGCTGCTCGGACATCATGATGCAGACTATAGTGGACAAACTCCACAGTGACCAAAATGTAGAAGTGGTGAGGCTTTTTGAGTTCATGGAAGGACTGACTGTTGTGAACTGTTTGAGTGCAGTCAGTAAAGCTATAAAGGAAATGATAGGTGCAGAAATCATGTGCACGACACTTGCGCACCTGCACAACAACACTTAAAGCAATGACATAGAATAAATATTGTGAATAATGATAATGATATCAACTTTACGACGAAAGTGAAAGTATCTTCAACCCCCCCCCCCCCCGTCAGAGTGTGTTGATCAGTTGAAACAACACCCTAAAGTGTCATTACACTTCTCAGCGGCAGAGCCGACAGCTGTGCAGCAACTTCTAAACGCCAAAACAGCGCAGAAATGGGAAAAATCTACCAGGTCGTGGTGCATGGATTCAGAGGGGAGAAGGTGACCATTGACCTGTGCAACACGGAGGAGCAGATGAAGAGCATCACGGTGCTGCAGCTTAAAGACAAGATAGCAGAGAAGGTTCCCGCGAACAAAGGTAAGCCATAATTATACATTAAATGCTGTGCAGCCGACGATGGAGCTTGTTTTTATTTTCACGATTTTAAACTTCATCCTATGTCCATTATTATTTCATGTCCACATTCAAGCCTACAATCAGCTGGAAATGAACAGATTGTGAGTCAGTGCCAGACCAGAATATTTAGCCGCGCAGAGACAGACGCCGGACTGCTTTCCCACTTCCACGTGTCTCCATAAACCAATACTCATTTGGAAATATTGTTTGCATCTCCCACACCGCGGCTTTGAAAATTAATGTAAGCAAATTTGACATGCGCTTTGATGCCGCGTGAACATGCCGTGCGCAAAGAGCGCAGAGGAACGCGCAGCCGCTGCACTGCACGCGTCTGTTCTGCGGGATTATTAGAGGAGTTGGCATCATGTGACTATGTAGAAAGGAAAGAGGAGCAGAAGCAAACGAAAGAGTGGGGAAGAGGGGAGGGCAGCACGCGCTTGAAGCCTGGTTGTTGTGATTGAACATGAAGTATGTCCAAAATCAAATATGTCCACCTCTGTGTGACGCCCCAGGCAGCTGCTAGTGCCCATGGGAAGGTCCACCTCTGCATATTGGCCTTTTGAACTTGACCTCACAAGTACATTTACCTTTAAAGTGACAGGCTGTATGACTTTTGCTTTGAATGACTGTAATTGTGTTAATTTGTGTCTTTCTGTGTGTGTGTGTGTGTGTGTGTGTGTGTGTGTGTGTGTAGGGGTGGAGGCCATTCGGCTGATCTTCACCGACAAGGCCCTGGATGACGACAAGAAGAAGCTGTCTGAATATGGAGTCCAGCACATGTCTATCATCTTAATGGTGTTGAAGGTTCCTGGAGGAATGACAGCTTGACAGAGACCATCTCCTTCTGCTGCTTCCACTGCCACTGCCGCCGCCGCTTCATATATATTTACTCTTGACAACATTGTTTACAAGTTTTAAATCATTCCTGTGTTGCCTGTTTTATTGCGATGATCACTTGTACGAAATAAAATCAAGTATTTGTAATGTCTCAACTCTGGTTAAGTGTGCACCACTATTTTAGAGGGCAAGCGTACGCCGGCGGCGACGGAAGTACTCGGATCCTTTGCTTTGGTACAGATACAATGGTTTAAAAACACTCCATTACAAGTGAAAGCCCTGCGTTCACAATGTTACCAAGGTAAAAGTATATGAGTGTTTTAAAAGTACACGTTATGCTTTCATAATTTTGTTCCGTTTTAATCACCAGTGATAATATAAGAACATTTTAATGTTGTAATTCATCAATGTGGAGCCAGTTGTAGATACTTCTAATACTACTAAGTAGATTGGTAGCCTATTATAGTACTGTATCATTAAGGCACATCATATCCTTTTCAGGCTATGGAAAAAGTGTCAGATAAATGTAGTGGACTAAGAAGTACAATATTTGCCTTTGAAATGCAGTGGGGTTAAAGTATTAAGTAAATAGGCCTCACTGATGTGTCTGACAAATAGCTTTAATCCCTGACCATCAGTGTCCCTGACTGATGAACAAAGTCAACCATGGGTCCCTGCGGGGCCACTTAGAGTCAACAACAATGTAATAAACAGAAGTGATCCCATCTGTAAAATGAATTCTTTCACCAGTGGCGTCGTTAGGCCTCGGTGTCCAAGGCTTTAGCCCTGAATGTTTTATCAATAGCCCCAGATCTGTACAGGCTATACATAGCCTATATTGCAAATAAAAAAAAAATAGGCCTTGTGATAAAAAATAGAGCATTAGCATCAAAATATTTCAACTACCAAAAGTAAAAGTAATCATAAAAGGGCCCATTTCAGATTCATACTGGATTATAATGAGTGATGCACTTTAATATACTGCTGGATATTCGAATGTAAGATAAAACGTCATGATTTCAGTCGTTGATTAGGGTGTATTGTGTGTTGTTAGTCTGAGAGTAAGAATAAAGTATCATAAAATGGAAACACTGAAGTAAAAGTACCTCAAACTTGTTAACATAAATACATTTAAAATCTGTTTCTTAGTACTAATTACTAACAGCTGCTTATATTTCTTACTTTACAATTTATAATTAATCAGTCTGATAAAAAAAAACAACCTTGAATTTGCTGCCAATTTTGTCAAAAAATGTGGCATTTTTATGTGATTTTTTTGTGGGAAATTGCTGCTAATGACAAAAGGAGAAAAAAAAAATATTTTTTTTAATTACTACCTCCAAAAAAAAAGTCATGTAATCACTTGCTGTAATAATCATACTGAATATTACAAAAATAGCTGCAAATGTTTTTTTATAGTTCTCTTCTTTTGTTTTATTTAATTAGTTTCAAAACATGGACTCCAATAATGTTGCAAACAATCCTGAGTGAATATTGTAGCTCTCAAACCAGACAATGTGACTGTAAAACAACATGTAAGCTACATCTTCTGTAAACATAACATTTTAATACATTCAACACATATTGTCTGCATTTAAACAGTGCAAATTCTTATGCCAATACAGAGCATTTCTCCATACTGCAATGCCATTAGCACATTTGATGACACGTCTGATGACGTTTGAAATGACGTCGCGTGCTCGTCGACTTTTGGTCAATGCGGAAAAACACAGAAAAATCACAGAAAAATCGCAGGACTTCTGAAAAATTGCAAGCCCCCGCAAATATTGCAGACTTTTTTTTTTTTTTTTTTAAAGATTATGTTTTGGGCTTTTTGCCTTTTAATGAACATGACAGAGTGAAATGGGGTGAGAGATAGGGAGTGGGGGTTGACATGCAGCAAAGGGTCGCAAGCTGGAGTCAAACCTGCGACTGCTGCAGCGAGGCATCACCTCTATACATGGGGCGCCGGCACTATCCACTACGCTACCCACGCCCCGAATTTGTGTTAATTATTGCGATCCCAAGGGGGGCTGATTAATCTGGACAATAAAATTAAACAAAGTTGCCAGAGTGCATTTTTTTTTAAAAAAAAGCAAATACAGCTTGTTCATAAAATAAATTCCCCCGTCCCCCGTACAGAGATCCAGGTGAGGCCCCCAGTGTCCTCAAATCCTAGAGACGCCCCTGTTCAGCACCACATCTGCCATGGGTGTATCTAAATACATGGTAGAGAGACGAGAGACTGCATATATATCAAAATTCACATCATGTGGTGTGCTCATAGGGATTTTGTAATATGCAAAACATCCTTAAGTTGCGTTCACGTCCTCCTGTGAAGCATTAAGAGAAGACAGCTGATGGCTTATGATTTGTTTTATAACTAGATCAGTAAAGAGCTACTTGCATAGTAAAACTGAATGTCCTTGTTAGTCATGTGAGCAGTCTGTTAATAAATGAAAAGATTTCCGACACACCCTGAATGCAGCATTCCTGCGGGTTCGTATGTTGTGGTAAGTGAAAGAGAAAGTATGCCGAGGGTTGTGGGCTCATTTACAGGAATAGGGTGCAGTTCATGCGCGTCGGTGATTTACAGAAAGAAGGCCTTGCTGTCCAACAGTCCCCATGACTCGTTCATCTGAAGGTATGGCTTATATTTTTCTGCATTTGTGTTCTTAAACAGGTGCGATTGATTCATTGTCAACATTGTCATTGCAGCCAGTGGTGCAGAAGTGGACTGATACAACAGTGAGAAAGGAATCAACATGAATTACTGGGGAAATGTTCATCAGTATTTCTACCAAACGTCCTCCTCTCCAGGTAAGATACATGCTGTGTTTATCATCCACAGTACTGCTGTGACATGTACATGCATTATTACTGATGTTCTCCTCCCAGCAGCCATTAAGTACAATGGCCTGTTAAACCAGGGAGCAACATGTTACCTGAACAGTGTGCTGCAGGTGCTGTTCATGACTGAAGACTTCAGAGAAGCTGTAAAACAGTTAGTTTCAAAGTCCAACTTCATGCCATATAATGCATTTAACTTCATTTAGGCTGCAGTGCACCTTTGTACCTTTCATGACCACTGTGTCTTAACTCTGTAGGCACAAGCAGGAAAATCCTGACACCGAGTGTATTGATTGTCATCTTACACCCTTGTTTGATGACTTGGAACAACATGAAGCCTACACCTTTAAAATCACGAACACGCTGGGCATCAAGAGAGGTACAGTATGTGTTGACACAAAGAACAACAAAGCATTTGAAAGGCTGTGCGTGCATGAGACATGCACATTGATTTCTGCTCTCCCCTCTTCAGTGTATGAACAGCAAGATGCTGCCGAGTGCTTTGAGAAGATTTTAGGTCTGACCAGTCCTGAGGCATCAAAGGTAGAGAAGACATCATCAAAGGGATTCTGTGCATTAAATGAAAAATACATGTTTACCAGTCTGTGTTCTTGTGTGCTTTCAGATCTTTCGTGGACAGTTGACGCGCACGACTGAATGTTCTACATGTCTCAGTGAGACGAAATCTGATGGAGCGTTTTGGCATCTTCCTCTTGAATTGGTGGAGTCCTACAGTGAGGACTACAGCGTGGTAAGAATCTCAGGTCCTGCAAACTGTGACACATTTATTTTTGTTGCCAGGAGATATCTAGTGAAACACCATTAACATGAATTTGTGATATATCAGAAACTCATTGAGAAGACATTAATGAATGCTTTACTCTCATTAGGCATTGTACGGTTCTGCAAACCATGACTGTGTTATATTTGTGGGTTCCATTGTTATGACTTAGTTCAGATTGGGGACGGCAGATGTTGAAACCCAGGTGAGTTCGGGACATGTCCAACTGTGTTTGTAGACACAAAAAGGGGCAATTTTAACAAGCTGGGAACATGTTCATCCATGTCTGTAGTGACAAAAGTGGGTATTTTTTACAGAGAGGTTGGAACATTTCCAGCCGTGTTTGTAGTAACAAAAGCGGGTTATTTTTAATGAGAGTTTGGGACATGTCCAACCATGTTTGTAGCAACAGATGTGCGTATTTTTTAACTAAAGTTTGGGACATTTCTAGCCATGTTTGTAGCAATGAAAAACAGGTATTTTTAATGAGAGTTCAGGACATTTTTCACCGTGTTTTTAGCGACAAAGCAGGTATCTTTTAATGAGCGGTCGGGACATTTCCAGGCCTGTTTGTAGTAACAAAAGTGGGTATTTTTTCATGAGAGGACGGGACATTTCCAGCCGTGTTTGTAGCAACATAGCGAGTATTTTTTTAACAGGACTTTGGCACATGTACATCCACGTTTATAGCAACAAAAAGCGGGTGTTTTATAACAAAAGTGTAGAACATTTCCAGCTGTGTAGCGACAAAAGCGGGTATTTTTTAATGAGAGGTCTGGACATTTCCAGCCGAGTTTGTAATGCATAGCAGCTATTTTTTACCGAGAGGTTTCCAGCCACATTTGTAGCAACAAAAGCAGGTATTTTTTTTAATGAGAGTTTGGGACATGTCCAACCATGTTTGTAGCAATAGATGTGCATATTTTTTAACGAAAGTTCAGGACATTTCAAGCTGTGTTTGTAGCAATAAAAAACAGGTATTTTTTAATGAGAGTTCAGGATATTTTCCACCGTGTTTGTAGCGACAAAAGCAGGTATCTTTTAATGAGAGGTCGGGGCATTTCCAGGCCTGTTTGTAGTAACAAAAAGTGGGTATTTTTTAATAGAGATCGGGACATGTCCAGCTGTGTTTGTAGTGCATAGCAGCTATTTCTACCGAGAGGTCGGGACATTTCCAGGCCTATTTGTGGGGACAAAAGCGGGTATTTACGACAGTTCAGGACATTTTCAACCATGATTGTAGCAACAAAAAGCATGTGTTTCATAACAGAAGTTCAGGACATTTCCAGCTGTGTTTGTAGCGACAAAAGCGGGTATTTTTTATTGAGAGGTCGGGACATTTCCAGCCCTGTTTGTAGCGACAAAAGTGGGTATTTTTTAATGAGAGTTCAGTACATTTTAGCAACATAGCGGGTATTTTTAACAGGAGTTCTATACATTTCCAGCCGTGTTTGTAGACACAAAAGTGGGTATTTGTTAACGAGAGTTCGGGACACGTTGAGCCGCGTTTTTAGCAGCCAAATG